TCTTTTGGCAGTAATGTTCTATGATTAAGGTATCCTACTAGGAAGTGCAAAGAAGGGAAAAGTATCTAGTCTTCAGAGACCTCTGTTCTAATTAAAGAGTTTCGTTAAACCTATGAAAAGAAAACCTACACCCACATCCCAGAAGCACTGTATGAGACAAAGATGTCTCTCACACACACACACACACACACACACACACACACACACACACACACACAAAGTACTAAGGACCCTTGCTGTGGGTGTAGGTGCCCAGGAAAAGCTTTAGGGAAGTTAGAGGGTTTGGATTGAGTGTTTGGGGGTGGGCAGGAGTTAGAGGGCAGGGAAAGGAGAAGGCATTCAGAGCAGAAAAGTGAAAGGAGGCCAGAGTGGGACATACAGAAAAGGCTGCTCTTGCTCATGACTGGATCCAACATGTAGTAGGGTTTTTTAAGGTATCATTGAATGTATAATTATGCCAGAATATAACTTCTGGTATAGATTTATTTATAGATAATGTTTATAATTATCTAGGAGGCTAGTGAGATGAAAGGCTGGAAAAAATAGGTTAAAGTAAGATTAAATAGAAGTTTTATCTGTTCAATGATATGCCCCAAATGCCTAGAATTGTGCCTAGCCAAAAGGGGGATTCAGTAAATATTTGTCAAATGAATGAAATGATCAGTGACTTGGTTCCAGGCTATCATGTAAGTAATGGGGGAACACTGAAGGTTTTGGTACTATTTAAGAAAGGTACATGGCAATTGTTTGTAGAATTGTTTATAAATGGGGAGTGAAGCAAGAAGAAAATCAGTTAAAAGTATATGAGTTAGAAAAGACTGTCTTTTTTCTATTGGATATTCTTTCCTGCTTAGTCAAAGATTCGTTGACCATAGAGTTGAGGGTCCATTTCTTTGTTCTCTGTTCCTTGATCTGTGTGTCTGTTTTTGTGCCATTACCATACTGTCTTGATGAGTACAGCTTTGTAATAGAGGGTTAAGTCTGGAATTGTGATGCCCCCAGCTTTGGTTTTCTTTTACAACATTCCTTTGGCTATTTGGGGTCTTTTCTGGTTCCATACAAATTTTAGGATTATTTGTTCCAACTCTGTGAAATAAGTTGATGGTATTTTGATAGGAGTTACATTGTATAGATTGCTCTAGGTAGCATAGACATTTTAATAATATTTGTTCTTCCAGTCCATGAGCATGGAACATTTTTCCATTTCTTTGTGTCTTCCCCAATTTCTCTCATGAGTGTTCTGTAGTTTTCTGAGTACAGATCTTTTGCCTCTTTGGTTAGGTCTATTCCTAAGTATTTTATGGTTTTGGGTGTAAATGGGGTTAACTCCTTAATTTCTCTTTTTCCTATCTCATTGTTAGTGTTTAGAAATGCAACTTATTTCTGTGCATTGATTTTTTATATCCTGCCACTTTGCTGATTTCCTGTATGAGTTCTAGCAATTTTGGAGTCGAGTCTTTGGGGTTTTCCATATAGAGTATCATGTCATCTGCCAAGAGTGAGAATTTGACTTCTTTACTGATTCAGATGCCTTTTATTTCTTTTTGTTGTCTGATTGCTGAGTCTAGGACTTCTAAACTATGTTGAACAACAGTGGTGAGAGTGGACATCCCTGCTCTGTTCCTGACCTTAGGGAAAAAGCTCTTACTTTTTCCCCATTGAGAATGGTATTCACTGTGGGCTTTTCATGTATGGCTTTTATGATATCAAGGTATATTCCCTCTATCCCTACACTGTGAAGAGTTTTAATCAGGAAAGGATGCTGTACTTTGTCAAATGCTTTTTCTGCATCTATTGAGAGGATCATATGGTTCTTGTCCTTTGTTTTATTAACGTAGTATATCACATTGATTTGCAGTTGTTGAACCACCCTTACATCCCAGGAATAAATCCCACTTGGTCTTGGTGAATAATCCTTTTAATGTACTGTTGGATTCTATTGGCCAGTATCTTTGTGAGAATTTTTATATCCATGTTCATCAGGGATATTAGTCTGTAAGTCTTCTTTTCTTTTTTTTTTGGGGGGGGGAGGGTCTTTGTCTGGTTTTAAGATCAAGATAATGCTGGCCTCCTAGAAAGAGGACAACCACATGTAGAAGAATGAAACTGGACCATTTCCTCACATCATACACAAAAATAGACTCAAAATTGATGAAAGACCTACATGTGAGACAGGAATCCATCAGAATCCTTGAGGAGAACACAAGCAGAAACCTCTTTGACTTTGGCTGCAGCAACTTCTCATGAGACACGTCTCCAAAGGCAAAAATGAACTATTGGGACTTCATCAAGATAAAAAGCTTTTGCACAGCAAAGGAAACAGTTGACAAAACCAAAAGGCAGCCTACCGAATGGGAGATGATATTTGCAAATGACACATCAGATAAAGGCTACTATCCAAAATCCTATAAAGAACTCAAACTCAACACCCAGAGAACAAATAATCCAGTCAAGAAATGGGCCGAAGAAATGAACAGACATTTCTCAAAAAAAAAAAAAAAAAAAGGCATACAAATGGCCAACAAACACATGAAAAAATGCTCAACATCACTAGGCATCAGGGAAATACAAATCAAAACCATAATGAGATACCACCTCACACCAGTCAGAATGGTTAAAATTAACACATCAGGCAATGATAGATGTTCGCGAGGATGCAGGGAAAGGGGAATCCTCTTACACTGTTGTTGGGAATGCAAACTGGTGCAGCTACTCTGGAAAACAGTATGGAAGTTCCTCAAGAAGTTGAAAATAGAGCTACCCTATGACCCAGCAATTGCACTACTGGGTATTTACCCCAAAGATATAAATGCAGTGACCCAAAGGGGTGCCTGCACCCCAATGTTTATAGCAGCAATGTCCACAATAGTCACACACACACACACACACACACACACACACACACACACACAATGGACTGCTACTTAGCCATCAAAAAAGTGAAATCTGGGCAGCCCGGCGGGAGGGGGGTGGGTGGAACTCAGTGGTTTAGCGCTGCCTTCAGCCCAGGGTGTGATCCTGGAGACCTGGGATCCAGTCGCATGTCAGGCTCCCTACATGGAGCCTACTTCTCCCTCTGCCTGTGTCTCTACCTCTCTCTCTCTCTCTCTCTCTCTCATGAATAAATAAAATCTTTAAAAGAAAAAAAGTGAAATCTTGCTATTTGCAATTATGTGGATGGAACTACAGGGTATTATGCTAGGCAAAATAAGTCAATCCGAGAAAGACAATTATCATATGATCTCACTTATATGTGGAATTTAAGAAACAAAACAGAAGATCATAGGGGAAGAAAGGAAAAAATAAAAGAAGATGAAATCAGAGAGGGAGGCAAACCATAAGAGACTCTTAATCATAAGAAACAAATAGGGTTGCTGGAGGGGAGAGGGAGGAGAGGGGATGAGGTAACTGGGTGATGGGCATTAAGGAGGGCATGTGATATAAGGAATACTGGGCCTTATATAAGACTGATGAATCACTGACCTTTACCTCTGAAATCAACAATACATTATATGTTAATTAATTGAATGTAAGTAAAATTAAAAAAAAAAAAACAGAGTATATGAAGTAGGCACAGACCTGGTCATGAAGACGGTCTGAAATTGGAAACAAAAGGGAAGGGCAGGATGGGGAATATCACAAAGAAATACTAGATAGGTGACTGTCATAGGGTATGAAAAGAATCAGAGGATGCCTAAGGTGTAAGGTGGTATGAAGAAGGAGTTTGACTAAATTGGAATATAACAATATTATTGATACCGATGGGAAACAGAATTTTGTTGGGTGGGAGGACGATAGGCATTTAATGGTTAGTTTTAAGTACTTAGATATGATATGCAGGTGAATTGCCTTCACTAGACATTTGCAAATTAAAAAAAAGATCGAGGGGATCCCTGGGTGGCGCAGCGGTTTGGCGCCTGCCTTTGGCCCAGGGCGCGATCCTGGAGACCCGGGATCGAGTCCCACATTGGGCTCCCGGTGCATGGAGCCTGCTTCTCCCTCTGCCTGTGTCTCTGCCTCTCTCTATCTCTCTCTGTGACTATCATAAATGAATTTAAAAAAAAATTAAAAAAAAAAAAGATCGAAATTCAAGAACATCATCTCAGGGCCAGAGATCAGGTTTGTGAGCCTTTCTCAAGAGTCTGCAGGCTGACGTGGGAAACAACAGCTTGAGAGGAGGAGGATATAGGGAGACAGGGAGGCCACCTCAGAAGTATCAGGAGTACAGCCTCTGTGTTCACAGGGCTATTGGCCTCTACTTCAGCTCTGTGTTTTTTAGAAGCATCACAGAGGTCAAGGTGCCTGGTGGCACAGTAGGTTAAGCACCCAACTCTTGGTTTTAGCTCAGGTCATGGGATCAAGCACCACATCAGCTTCTGTGCTCCGCTCAGACTCTGCTTAAGATTCTCTTTCCCTCTCCCTCAACTCCTACCTCCCCACTGCCCACCCCCTCAAATAAATAATTTTTTTTAAAGAAACATCACAGAGCTCTCAGAAGCTATGTGTCGTTCCTGTCTGGGGGAGATTTTACTCCATAGGATCCTCCTGACCCACTTCCTCAGCATTTCCTTTATTTCCTATGTAGGATCATTTTGTTGCTGTCATTATTTTCCTGGTACTATTATCCCCTATGTAAGATTTTATAGTTCATGTCTAATACATGAGCATCCCTGTAGGAACTGATCCTCTTGCTATTTTTGAAGGTTATGCTGCTTATAACTCTGTGTGTGTGTGTGTGTGTGTGTATAAATCTTTTAGAAACTGAACTGTAATAACTAATTTTACAACCTCGAGAGGCAGGGAAATATGTGCAGTATGCATTGATTGGATAAAACTTGAAGGCTGGTGTACATGATATGAATTAATATTAGAGAAGGACTATAAATACATAAAATACTATACTTTTCTCATTTTTTCCTTAAAAATTCCAGTTTATTGGAAACTTTTGAATAGAAATAATTGGGACTATTAAGTCTTTATTAAAGAATATTATTTGTCATGTTCATTTCAGTAGCACATAGGCTAAAATTGGAACATTTCAGAGAAGGTAAAATTACATGGCCCTTTGCAAGGATGACATGCAAATTTGTGAAGCATTCCATATTTCTATTTACCTTTATGAAAATACACACACATATATATATAAAATAACTTTTCACTTTTCCAGCTGAGGTGAATCAGATATTTTCTGAATTGCCTTTCTGGGTTTTTTTTCTCCTTTTTTTCCTTTTCCTAAATCTTTTGGATGTCACATTGGTGAGCATATAAATGAACTTGGATAAACCAGAATTCTGTCATTGATGGCAGTTTTGTCAAACCTTTTAGAGATTTTAAATTATCTCTACACACAATGTGGGGTGTCAGACTTAACACCCTGAGATCAAAAGTTACATGCTCTATCAACTGAGCCAGTCAGGCATCCTGAAAAATCTGATATTATATTGTATTTACTTACTTACTAAGCTTTATACTCAGCTTGGGGCTTGAACTCATAACCCTGAGATCAAGAGGTACAGAGTTTTGCCAAACTTTAATTTTGGTGTACTACTTGCCTTTTAAACAAATTATTGTGAAAAATAATTTAGCAACTTCCAAATTGTAAACTTCTCAATGACAGTCTGCATCTGTATATCTCTTCAAGTCAAGCATCTGTTGAAAAGATACTGATAATGGGGGAGAAAGGCTAGTGCTGCATAAGTGCAGTTTCATGAAACTTGGCAGTTTTCATAAATAAATTGAATAACATAAATTGTATTTACCTCTTTGGTGTCTAGACTAAAGAATTAGAACCATGAATTTATAAAAATTCAGGTTGCTGTCTATACAAATAGAAAAGTATTTAAAAATTATGTTTCCAATGGGATGATGATGAAATATTTAGTATATGGTATTGGGCCAAGTGGGTAGGTATCTGGAGAAAGATGCAGTTGGGGCAGCTCAGGTAGCTCAGTGGGTTAGCACTTCCTTCAGCCCCAGGTGTGATCCTGAAGACCCGGGATCAAGTCCCACGTTGGGCTTCCTGCATGGAGCCTGCTTCTCCCTCTGCCTGTGTCTATGTCTCTCATTAAATAAAAAAAAATCTTAAAAAAAAAAAAGAAAAAAGAAAGATGCAGTTGTTCTATATCTCATACCATTCAAATAAACTCCATCTTGATTTAGTTCATTTTATATGATGATTAATGTGGTATTCAAAAGAATGATGACAGAGAAAGGAACAAGAAATCAGGAAGGCAATTTATAAAATGTCTGGTCTACCTCATTTGGAAAAAGTGAAAAATGATGTTTCTAATAAATATTTCAAAATATGAGTATATATTCATATCTGCTTAAAATCATAAAAGGATTAGAGGGGTGCCTGGGTGATTCAGTTGGTTAAGCATCTGACTCTTGATTTCAGTTCAGGTCACGATCTCAGGATTGTGAGATTGAGCCCTGTGTTGGGCTCTGCACTTAGCAATCTGCTTGAGATTCTTTGTCTCCCTTGTGTCCCCTTCTGGAGGTCATGCATGCTCTTTCTCCCTCAAATAAATAAATCTTTTTTAAAAAATCATAAAATGACTAGAAAAAACATAGGTAAATTCCTTTGTAACCTTAAATAAGGCCCTTTAACTATGACTTAAAATTCAGAAACCATTAAATAAAACGATTGATAAATTTGGGTAAAAACTTTATCTGCTAAAAACCACAATAAGAACATTCAAAAGACAAATGACAATCAGGGAAAAAAACATTTATAGTGGGCAAAAGACTAATCTGTATATAAAGAGTTCCTACAAATGAATAAGAAAATGACTGTCAGACCAATAGAAAAATGGGCATAGGACATGTTCACAGGACATGAAACATAGGTTGTCTTTATACGAAAGAAAATATCTTCAAACTCCAACATAAGAGAAATGCAAATTTAAACTGTGTTGAAGTACTACTTTTCACTTCATCAGATTGGCAAAAATTCTAAAGTGTGATAATTATATATTATTGACTAGATGTGGAAAAATTGTCAGTGTACTTCTCGTAAGATTACAAAATAGCACAGCCTTTATGAAGGCCAGTTTGGCAGTATCTATCGAGATTACAAATGCAATTACCCTTTGACCCAGCAGTTTGTCTCTGGTAATTTCTCCCTGCAGGTACATCTGAACACATATAAAGTGACGTATGTAGGAGGTTTTCATTAGACCATTGTTTGTAATAGAAGAGATTGGAAACAATTCAAATATCCATTAGTAGAAGGCTGGTGAAATAAACTGTGACCCATTCATACAATTGAATATTGTGTAGCATTTAAAGAAAACTTGGAAGCTCTTTATGCAGTAATATGGAAAAATATTCAAGATTGCAATTAAATGAAAAAAGCAAGGTACAGAATATTTTATGTAGTATGCTACCTTTGGTGTAGAAAGGGGATAAAATCGGAGTCTACAGTCATATCTGTTTGTATCTGCATGAAGAAACATTGAAAGGATAAAGTCAATAGAAATGATTGCCGTTAATGGGTTGGTGGCAAATGAGGTGGACAGAAAAAGGGTGGGAACGGTATTATTTGTTAGATACCGGTTGTGTTATTTTTACTTGTGAACCATGTGAATTATTGCCTATTCAAAACAAAAAGTGGGGCGCCTGGGTGGCCCAGTCGGTTGAGCGGCCAACTCTTGGTTCATGATCTTGGGGTCCTGGAGCTCTTGGGATTGAGCTTGGTGTTAGGCTCTGCACTGAGTGGGAGTCTGCTTAAGGGTTCTCTCTCCCTTTGCCTCTCCCCCACTTAAATAAATAAATCTTTAAAAACAAAACAGAAAGTAAGTTTCATATTTGCAAAATGTCATTTCAGTGGCAGTTTACCTATGTTCAGGGACTGGAAATATCTGCTCAGAGCTTTATTACAAGTCCCTTGTTTGGACTCCTGGCTACAGTATCCTCAGTGGGTCTTGCATTTTGGTGTATCTAGAGCTGTCTGTCTAAAATGGTAACCACTGGCCAGTTCTGGCTTCTGAGTACTTGAAGTGTGGCTCATTCAAATTGAGATATCCTGTTAAGCGTGCCAGATCTAGAAGGCTTAGTACAAGAAAAAAAGAATGTAAACTATGTCATTAATAATTTTTAAATATACTGATTACATGTTAAATGATAGTAATTTGGGTTTGGGGGTTAAAATATATTATTAAGTTAATTTCACTTTTTTTTCTTACCTTAGATGTGGCTGCTAAAAAAAATTAAAATTATCTATGTGGCCTGGCTCTGTGGCTCGCATTTTATTATTATTTTTTGCACAGCACTGACATAGACTCCTGTCTACCCTTGACATGTCTGCCAGAATTACTTTCTTAAAGAAAGAAAAACAAAAAACCAACTGAACATGCTTTAAAACTTTCATTGACTCTGAGATGCCTATAGAGACCCTTTGTAATGGTCTCTGAGATGCTTCCTTTACCAGCTCGCCACCTCCCTTCACACATAAACACTGCTTCTCTTCACTGCTTGGACTGCAGGCTCCTTCATAAATGTGAGTCTTTGAATGCTCTGTCTCTTCTGCTTGCAGTGTTCCCAAATCTCTATTTCTTTGCTTTAAAAACTCCCTACTCATTTTGTAATGCTAGTTCACATGGGCCCCTTCTTCTTCTTCTTTTTTTTTAAAGATTATTTATTTATTTATTTATTTGTTTGTCTGTTTATTCATGAGAGACACGCAGAGAGAGAGGCAGAAAGAGAAGCAGGCTCCATGCAGGGAGCTGGATGTGGGACTCGATCCCGGGTCTCCAGGATCAGGCCCTGGGCTGAAGGCAGTGCTAAACTACTGAGCCACCGGGGCTGCCCCACATGGCCCCTTCTTTAATGAAATCTCCCTCTGGCTCCTCTGTCCTGTTTCCTTCTAACACTTGTCCCTCTGTGTTCTCACACCTATCACCTAATACTGCCATTAATTTTCTCAAGGTATTGTCTCCCTCACCAGACTTGTGAGCTCCTTAAGGACAGAACCCATCATCTCTGTATTCCTGGAACCTGAAACTGCCAGGAAATAAACTTCAAAAAATCACTAGGAAAATGAGGTTGGTTGTGTTTCGTTGAGAGCACCCCATGCCCCGTTTGCCTGGCTGGTGCTTCTGTTTGGTCTGTATATTAACAAAATCAAGTTCAAACCTCGTTGATCTTCTCGTAGTTAAGAATAGGCCTCTTTGAAATATTCTAGTTTTGAATTAACAGTCCAGCCTACCTATAGGCAGAAGATTACAAATTTCAGAGACATCAGTAGCACCAAACTCATAGTGCGTCTTGGTCTTCAGGGTTGTGTTCAGACTGGAAGCTGAGAGGTGTTTGTGTTCAGTCAGAGAGCAGAAATCTCCAGCCTGGCGGCATGCCCGTGTTTCCAGAAGGTAAAGGTAGCAGGTGGTTGCCAGGAGGTGAAAGCACTGGTGGAGCCTTGCCAGCCACAAGAAGGCTGCGAGCTGGGATAATGTTCTCCACGGTCTTGTCCACGGGCTCTTCAGTGACCATCTCTGTTCAAAGTCATTCCTGCTTGTCGAGATTTCCATTGTCTTTCTCTTCTACTTGTGGGGACTTGAGCTTTGGCCTGAAACAGAAAAGAAGAGTAATAAATGGAATATTCGGGATCTGGGAAGCAGAGTTTTTAGAAGGAAAAAACTTTGCACGAAACTTCTCTCCTTAGTGAAATACCTGAAAGGGCTTATGTTTACACCCAGATTTTAGAAGCTTCCTTCTCATTGTTCAGAATGTTTATTTCCTATATAATGATGCAGATATTTTCACTAGGCAGAGCTTCTTGTGCAGCTCTCATAAATCAGTTGAATGAGGAGTTCTTTCTTTTGCAAAACTTTGAGGGCTGGTAGGGTAGTAGAAAGCACAGTGTCTTCAAGGGACTAGGAAAACATGTCTGAACCCAGGATTGCCACTTACTTAGTGGTGTGAGCATAAGCAAGTTACGTCACCTCTTTTAGATGCATGTCCCGTAGAATGAGGTTATCAACACCTCCTGAGTTGTGAACATTACAAGAGGCGAATGAATGCTGGTGCCTAACGGGGTGTCTGGCCCAAAGTGCATTTTGGTAAATAGGATTTACAATTCCAATATGAATATAGGTTTTTCTCTTGCTAC